TCAAAATGATGATTTTTAAGACCCTCCAGAGTGATTTTGGGACAAGAAAAGGGAATATTTGGTGAGTTTCAGCCATGGGGGCTCTGGGATTTGCCCCCCACTGCCTGGGGGGGCAACAATGACCCCCCCCAAACCCAAGCCCAAGGCCCTGAGAGGTGAGGAACTCCCCGTTCATAAATCAGGCCCCAGGAGGTGGAGCTGCTCCTCCTCATTCCCAGCATCCCAGGCTTTGTTTGTCCTGTTCCCACAGCCCGGCCAGGGGGTGTGTTTGGGAGGAAAACACTTGGGGGGGGGGAAGGGAGAACCTGCTGAGCTCATGGTGACAATGTCAGGGTGAAGTGAGGGCACAGAGAGGCCACCAGCCCTGGAGAAATCCAGGGTAGGGAAACCACCCCCAAGACCCCAGGGAAGTGATGGGGCTGCCCATGGGAATCATGGAATGGGTTGGGTTGGAAAAGAGCTTGAAGATCATGGAGTCCAACCCCAAATCCACCCCTGCCCCACGTCCCTCAGCACCATCTCCAGGGCTTGGAAACCCCTCCAGGGATGGGGACTCCCCCCCTGCCCTGGGCAGCCTGGGCCAGGCCCTGACAACCCTTGCCAGGCAGGAATTGTTCCCCAGATCCAACCTCCACCTCCCCTGGCACAACTTGAGGCCGGTTCCTCTTGTCCCATCCCTTGTTCCTGGGGAGCAGAGCCCGACCCCCCTGGCTCCAACCTCCTCTCAGGCAGCTGCAGAGCCAGCAGGTCTCCCCTCAGCCTCCTTTGCTCCAGGCTGGACACCCCCAGCTCTCCATCATCCAGCCCAACCCCCCTGCCAGAGCAGGCTCTGATGGGTGGGAAGGCACAAACCTGCCCCAACCTTCAAAGAAGAACAACAACCAACTAAACGACCTTCCTAAAATGTGGCCTCTTGGTGTCTTGGGAGGGATCCTAAAAACAGGACCAGTGGGATCCATTTCATTCACCTTGGAAGACCCACCAACAGCTGCTCAACCTTCACACACACAGATGATGAGGTTCAGCACTGACAGTTCCCAGAAATCTGTTCCCTCCCTCTATTTTCACCACAAACCAGTGACAAACATCCCCAGGCCTGGTTATTAGTTTGATTTCCACGAGCTGGAACAAGATGAGAGCTCATTTCCTTCTCCCATGCCCACCTTTACCTCAGACCAGGCTCCTACTTCTTGTAAACACAAGCAGGAAAGCACCCAGGGGTGCCAAGTCCTCCACCCTGCACTGTGGCTGTTTAAAGAAACCCTGATTCCCATTTGCTGCAGGAGCTGGGTCCTGATCTCAGACACACCTGCCACTTTCTCAGGTGCTCAGACCTTCCCAAACTCAGGCAGCACCTCTGGTCAGACAACCAGCACAGATCCTGAACTCCTCCTGCCCCCAAACCCACCAGGGATCAGGGACCCTCCGTGTCTTCAGCAGAGTTTTCAGCAGAGCAGAAGGACAGAAGGTGGGATGGGGACCTTGTTTTTAGTTTTCTTTTCCTCTCTCATCACCCATGACTGAATCGCACCGTCCAGCCTGGTGTGGGGTTTTTTCTCATGGATAATTCTGACCAGAGATCACAGAATCCCAGACCCTCAGGGGTGGGAAGGGACCTGGAAAGCTCCCCCAGCCCAACCCCCCTGCCAGAGCAGGGGCACCCAGAGCACATCCCACAGGATCCAGGGGGGTTGGAATGTCTCCAGCCAAGGAGACTCCACAGCCTCTCTGGGCAGCCTGGCCCAGGGCTCTGGCACTTCACAGCAAACAAGTTCTTCCTGAGATTCACAGGGAACCTCCTGGGCTCCAGTTTGCACCCACTGCCCCTTGTCCTGTCACTGGACATCACTGCACAAAGCCTGGCTCTGTCCTCCTGACACTGCCCTGAGCAGATTTGTGCCCATGGATGAGGTGGCCCCTCAGTCTCCTCTTCTCCAAGCCCAACAGCCCCAGCTCCCTCAGCCTTTCCTCAGCAGGGAGATGTTCCCCTCCCTCCAGCATCTCTGGGGCTCTGCCCTGGGCTCTTCCCAGCAGTTCCCTGTCCTTCTGGAACTGAGGGGCCCAGAACTGGACACAA